TAATTGTGCCGTGGCTACGTGTAAAAACTACAGCAAAATTACAAAGGGAACGGACATAAAATATTTTAGATTTCCCAAGAATGATGATCTAGCTAAGCAATGGATTGTAGCATGTCGCCGAGAAGGGACAATAAACTTAAAAAAATGGTAAGTGTAGAAGCTTTTATTTGAATAATAAAAAAATTTGATTCATATTTATTAATATTCAATGTCAATGGTTATGTAAAAGGCTGATTCGGTTGCATAAACATAAATTTCATGTTCGTATATTATGACTAGATGTTTTTTGCAGCTCGTATTTGCTCTATACACTTTGAAGTCTCCTGTTTCGAAGTGTCGCTGCAACAGAGATTGTTGGGATACAAGCCCATACGTAGCCGACATTTGAAACTTGATGCTGTGCCCACACTTAGCATTCCCAAATTTCCCGCAGCAATCCAGAAAAGGCAATGTAAAGAACGTGATATGCGATCAGCTAAAAGAAGACAGCGGGTTGAAGCAACAGGAATTTTAAAAGCAATTGAAGCTGCTAGTGTTTCTCAACAAGAGCTTACCTACACAGATACTTCTCCCGAAGAGAACATGGATCATGACATCACTATGCGGATGATGGATATGGAAAACCAAGTTCAATCCGAGTCAATAGATGAGTGCGTATAATTTTATTTATTAATATTTGTAATAAATATCATTGTTAACACGGAAATAATAATCATACCTGTTTATTTTAGAAAAAATTAAAAGGAAATCATGAAACTGAGGAACCAAATAAAAATGTAGGAAGAAGTTAATAAACAACTAAGGACGGAATTGAAAAAGGCTGAATCGAATATTGCAAGTTATAAAGATATTTTAGCAAGAGTGTTTACACCAGGCCAAATAAAAAAATTAAAGAATCAAGGTAGCCGGATGAGAATTCGATGGTCCCCGGAGGATATTGCTTCTGCTATATCACTACGCAGTGTTAGTCCTAAAGCATATAGATTTTTAAGAAGTAATCATTATCCTTTACCAGCATTATCGACACTGAAGAAATGGGTTGGCAATATTGATATAAATCAAGGAATTCTGAAAACGGTTATATCATTATTACAGAAAAAAGCCTTAGATTTAAGGCCTGTTAACCGAATGTGCGTACTCACGTTTGATGAAGTTTATCTTTCGAATAAAATTGAAATAGATAAGAAACAGGAGCAGGCCATAGGGCCATATAAAAGTTGCCAAACAGTGATGATACGAGGTCTATTTGCACAATGGAAACAGCCAGTTTACTACCAGTTTGATCAACCGATGATTAAATAAATTCTCTATGAAATACTTTCAGAATTGTACCAAGCAAAGTTTACTGTAGTTGCGATTACCACTGATATGGGTACAGGAAATCATTATCAATTGGGTATGACAAAAGTTGCTTTTTTGCGCATCCTTCTAATAATACACTGAAAGTTTTTGTGTATGCAGATGTTCCGCATTTGATAAAGCTTGCTCGAAATCATTTGATTGATCATGGTTTTGAAGTGGAAGGTGATATAATAAATAGAGATTACTTCGAAGCTTTATTAAGTGTTTCTACATCAGAATTAACATTGGCACATAAATTGACGCAACAACACATTAATATCAAAGGATCTATGCGGCAAAGAGTTCATCCTGCAGTTCAAGTTTTCTCAAACTCCGTGGCAAAGGCAATAAGGTATGCAGGAGAGATGACCTTATGCCTAAGAACAGTAAATGGCTTCAGAAATTGTTCAGTTATTTAATGACTGGTTTGACTTAATGAACTCACGGTCTAAATTTTGTAGTAATTGTCCAGAACGAAATGCCTTTGGCATTGATATTTATAATCAAGAATATCTGTTGAACAAAATGTCAGAAGCTATTAGTGTAATGAAAATAGGTAAGCATAAGGGCTTAATTCCATTTCAAAAAGGTATCTTACTAACAAACAAGTCATTAATAGGAATGTTCAATTACTTAAAAAATACATATGATGTGGAATATATATTAACGTCCCGCTTAAACCAAGATGTCCTTGAAAATTTTTTTGCATATATTCGAGGCATGGGGGGTGCAAACGATCATCCAACTCCTTTAGATTTTAAATATAGATTAAGATGGTATATTGTGGGCAAACATTCAGCCGCCATCTTCACAGAGAAAACGAATACTTACGAAACTGAAGAAACCTGTCTTCTTGATGTGCTAAGTGAAACAAGTGATATACCACACAAAGACATGTGTTTAACACAGCAAATGTTTTCTAGCGTCGTAAAAAAATGTACTTCAGTTGAAAATGATTGTGACGTAGAACAAAGCATTTCTGATTCGTTTATAGAGCCTTTGTATTTAGAGGAAGAAATACTTGATGCAGAAATTTCATGGTTGATTCAAACATACGAAATTAAAGAGAAAATTCACCTGGATTGTTTAAAGTATATTGCTGGTTTTGTGGCATACAAATTTAGAGATAAATATGACTTGGGAATTCCTACAAAAAAATTAGACCCAAATAGAGCCCCAGATTGGCTGCAGATGATTTCTAGAGGGTCACTTCTCCATCCAAACCGCGAATTATGGGAAGTAGCGCAGATTCTCGATGCAGAGTTTTACGTAATGAATGGAACCTCTATATCTAAGAACAAACATATTTTTCAAGAATTGGCTCAAAGAACAGTGTCGAAAATAGAAAACAATTCAGTTCCATACGAAGTAATTCTCTGCCTTAGTAGAACTCGAACGTATATTAGGTTACGAGACATGAATAGAAAAATAAGTTTTATGAACTGCCAAAAAAAAAAACTAGACAGGAAAATGTCGAAATTTACAAATTTCAAAAAGTAAATAATAAAATTGTTCATACAAAAAGTAGCGTAATACGTTAATATAAATAATATTTTAATTTTTGATAGGTTTACAAAAAAAGATTTAAACAAAAGTTTTATAAAAGTTATCAGAAATATACTGGTTGCACCATTAGTTTAAAATAATGCACAGATATGTTTTTTAAATGGTACACCCTGAATATTTTTTGAGTATTTCAAACTCTAAAAAATTCAAAAATAGTTAAAACTGTATAATGTTAATTTTATTAGTTCAAAAGTTATATTTATTTAAAAAGGGTATATTACAGAAACATTTTTATTACCAAAATAATCAACCAAACAAATATTTTGTTAATTTTATTTAATTAAATGCTTTTAGGGTCTTCCTTGTTCTAATTATTTGGCAGTATCCTTAATCACCCTGTACACTGGTTTTACTCGAATCTTGTTCGTTCTAATTGTGTATTATTGTTTGGCGTTCTTTATTATAGATTTTTGTAAGTGCCTGCATTTCTTTAAAATAAAGTGTCTTTGCTCATTGTGTCTTATCACAAAAAGTCTTGTTTTAATCGCAATAAATAAACTGAATACTCATAAAATGTGTGCAATATTTATACTAATACAATAACTTTTCTACTTTTACTCCATACAATCCACAAACTTTATTAATAAAGTAATATTACAGTTTTTTATTATCGAAAACGTCTCGTTACTTGTATTTATTTATGCAGATGCATCGGATTGATATGCCTAGTGACGTCATATAGTGTGACAAGGATAGAGCTAACATGCGTAGGAGCATACCGGTGTATGTGTATCGTGAGCTGTTCCAAAAACTTGTATGAGTTATGTCATCGGTTTGCAGCACTTTTGCAAATTTTTTGTCTATGATATAAACAAAAACACTATTTTACAAAAAAAAAAATCATGTTCCGGACTTCCAAAAAAGTTATATAATGATATAATGTTGAAAATAATTTTTTTAAGAAAGTTATAATAAATTGTAATTTTTTGGAATTATTAATATGTTCTGTTTTTATTGAGATGCAGCCTCTTTTTCATTATCTTTCAAAAAAATATGTACCAATGTGTAGTATTTACTATAATAAATGTTCGAAATGGCCTCCATTTTTCTGAATACACATTCGGCACCGTTTTAAAAAGGAAAACCTAATTTTTTGGAAGATCATTGGCTTCTGACGAAATCGATTAGAACTTTCAATGATTCGATGCCTACAACATTTTCGAACTAATAACTTTTATCATAATTATTTGACTCGTACTAGATGTGATTTAATGATACCATCTCATAACTCTGCATTTTACGAAAAATGCACTCAATACATGGGTATCCTGGTATATAATAAACTTCCGAATAATGTAAAATTAATGGAAATTTTGAAAATATTTAGAAGTAAATTAGAGAAGCTATTGACGGATAACTGTTTTTAATCTGTCAAAGAATATTTGGATTTCACGTTTTGATTGTTTAATTTTCTTTACATTTTTAATGCAAGTGTATTTCTTAATTTTTAATACGTAATATTTTTCTTTGGACTTTTCCCATATCATGTATTTTGATCTTATGGACAATAAAGTTATTTTTTTTTATTTGGTGTCATGGGCATCGACTACTAAGGTCATTAGCCTCGTGTTTTGTGCAGGCTTTGTTACTGTTTCCCAGCGCCACTTTAGGAACAGCACTGTTAATTAGAACCCAACAGTGAATGGTCGAGTGGGGAATCCAACCAAGGCATCAGAATTATTTATTATTATTATTTTTGTATTGGAAAATATGCACCACTATTAACGGTCATTGAATATTAAATATAACTGAAATATTCTTAAGAGGTTACGAAAATATTGTCTTTTTTTTTCTAAAACTTTAGCATCCTGTATTTTCGTAACGGAACATTTTTGGACCATAGTTTATTAAGCAAACTATCATTAATTTTTCAGGTAGATTCACAATCTTAAATATTCGCATAGCATTAAGAAACACCCTGTATGGCTACCAAGAATCACGTATAGGTCTTCATAATTCTCGTACTGTATTTAAAACAAATGACGGTAGACATAAACTAAGGAGAAAAACATAAAATTCAACAAAGTAACTTAGGCTACATTGGCATTAAACGGTAAAATAAATTGTTTTAAGATAGAAAAAAGGGTACTCACCCGTTGGCTCCACGGCTACCGGCCTTAGATCGTAATGCGCGGACTTCTTTGGTTTGGTCCTGGCGCTGAGATTCAGCGTAACGGTGGCGAACGGCCTCTTAGCCATATGTAGCATTTCAACGACGTGCCGCCGCCTGGCCCTCCTTACGTCCGCCGCTTGTTTGGCCTTCCAAGCCACCACGCAAGCTGCCAAAAACAGGAAGAAGCAGGAGAAAAAGACGGAAAAGAAGACGAATAGATCGATATGGAGCTGGTCCTGGCGCGAGAATACTATGCCGTAAGCGACTTTTTTTTCAGAATCGGCGGGTTCTAGAGCCTGTAGAACGAGGAAGAAGCGGGTAGTTTCGAGACTGTGGTATTCCTGAAAACAAGAATAAAAAAACATGTTATTTAGTACAGTATTTGTGACAAGGGTCAATTTCATAATAATTTTCAATATACACTCACCGGCATTAAAAACGGATACCCCGATAATTTTTGATAAAAATGCCTGAATGTGTTTTTAAAGTATGCTTCGTTTGGGAAATGTTTTCGGAAAGCTTTTATTTCAAAAGAATCATGTCTGTAGACATTAAATACAAAAAAACTTTTTTAACGTTATACAATTATCATGAGAAATACAAAAACAATAAAAAAAAACTTTAGTAATTACTTATCTATATAATTAATACCTCGTATAACGGTATTTATTTTTCAATATTGTTAATCAAGTTGAAAACCTCATTCTGTGGAATTCCTTCCCATTTCTCTAAAAGAGCCACTTTGAGATGATCCAAGGTAAGAGGAGCATGTAATTCGAATCCTTCTAGCGAACATGTCCCAAACTTTCTCGAAGGAATTTAGATCGGGACCGCGCGCTGGCCATGCCATTTGGGAAATACGGCTAGCATGAGGGTTTTATAAAGTTGTCTCCAATAATGATGCATATGTGACAACATAATCTTGCAGTATCTCATTTATGTACCTATTCATAGTTTTAGTTTAGACATGACCAATCCTAATCACACCCATATTGATTTTTTAGATGTGGGGATTTCAGATTTTCAAAAAGATTAGCTATTGAAAGAGTCGATGTAAGCTCACATGCACAGGGTAGCAACTTTTATGCCGTTAAAGGATCACATTATAAAGAGGTTAGCTCCAAAAATTTGGCTACTCTTAATATTTTCTATATTACTGTAGGGAGTATTCGTAATAAATTTAATAGAATGCAATTGTTGGAACAAAAACTTAAGGTAGATATTCTTATTCTTGTAGAGGTTTGGCTTAAACACGATGAACTGGAGTTTGCCCTGTTTCCTGGTTTTAAGGTTATATCAAGTTATGTAAGGAATTCTCGTGAACATGGCGGAGTCTGTATCTTTGCAAAAAATAACATACCATGCAGCACTATAGATCTTTGTAGTGATTTAAATACTAAATTTGCTTGTTGCCAGTTAACTCAAAGCAAAATTGTTGTAGTAGGCACTTATCGTTCACCAAATGGCGACACTGATATATATGTGAATATGCTAGATACACTATTAGAACAAAAAATTCCCCTCGACTCCAAAACAGTAGTCGTTGGTGATTTTAATTTTAATTTCAAGGAAAACACCAGAGCTGTTAATGATTGTAGAAATATTTTTGAATTACATGAACAAGTGTTTGTAGATACTAGGGTAAAAGATAAAAGTAGAACAAGAGTTGACAATTTATTTACAAACTTAGTAAAAGAAAATTTTATTACAGATATCATTGAACCTTTTATTTCGGATCACAGGGGTATAACACTTAAAATAATTACCGATACAAAAAATGTAAACGATACATCTTTAAGCAGGCCAATAATTTTAGATCTGAATTAAAAAAGTTAAGTTGGGATTTAAATAAATTTAATGAGAACGACAAAGCTAATATTATTATTGACGTTCTATCCAAACTGTACCTACAATGTTTTCCTGATAATCAAAAGTAAAAATAATTTAGCAAACACTCAAAATGTAAGTTACATTAAGTCAAAATTAGATGATACTTAAGTAATATTCAATTCTACGAAGTCACCGGAAAGCTTCGAATTATCATCGTTTTTAAAAAAGGAATGCCGTAATATTGTTAATAAGGAAACGGTACTTTTGAACAAAAAAATATTTGAGTCTGATAATAAACAAAAAACAGCTTGGCAAATAATTAACACCAACTTGGGCAGAAATAAATCTTCTAAAACCAATGTGTATGTCGATGATTTTGCAGATTTCTTTCAAAGTGTAATTCACGATTTAGTTGAAAATTGCAAGCAGTCTACTAATGTTAACAGCTTTATTAAAAAAATTCCTTTTAATCATTTATCAATATTTTTGAACCCCACAGATACAACAGAAGTCCATCAAATTATCAAAGATTTAAAAAATTCTAAAGCTAGGGATACTTATGGATTGAGTGCAGTTTTATTGATATTTTAGACGCTCCCATTGCTAACCTAATTAATTTGTGTATGAAATCTGGAGTTTTTCCAGATACATTTAAAATATCACGAGTTACCCCTGTTTCCAAAAAAGCGGACATGAATCTACCATCTGCTTACAGACCTATCTCAATTATATCAATAGTAAGCAAAATTTTTGAAATAGTGTTAAAACAACGAATTATGAATTTTTTTGAAAGCAACAAGTTGCTAAGCCAAAATCAATTCGGTTACAGGGCAAACAAATCAACAATTAACGCAATATGTGATCTCTATGAAGCCGTTACGGATGGTTTTGAGGATCGATCACATAGTACTGCCAGATTTTATGATCTTACGAGAGCGTTCGATACTAGAGCTGTGGCAAACCGTATGTATTCGTTACTCAGTAACGGGTAGTCGGTCAGATACGAAATACGAATTCGTTACTGCATTTTAAATTTCGTTACTCGCATCCACATCGTCGCATAACGCACAATAATAATACTTGAGAATACATACCGCCACCGGTTCGGTGTGCAAGATGCGAGATGGCCCGATGGGCGATGCGAAATGCGAGTGTGGCCTTGATGCGAATCGACTATCGAACCGCACGTCGACTGGGACTCGGAGAGTTCGAAACGTACTTTTGTTTATATTTATGTATTTATTTATTTCAGTTTTAAAGAATAGTATAATAGTTGTTTTTCTGTTGCGTGTTGCAAGAATATAATATGTTTTTGTTTATTAAAGTTATGATTTTATAGAGTATTATTATTGTTTCTACTAGTGTGTTAGAAAAATATATATGTTTCTGTTCAACCTGTCTGACGATATTTTATTTTGCAAAACTTCACATCAGTTCTCATTGCTCATGCTCAGTGAACTACACGACTTTGTTACTAATTACAAATTCCAAATTCGCTATGTATTTATTTAACCAACGATTCGATATCTAATTTCATCCGCACCCTCTGTTAGACAGTACCAAAACCTAACAACCGAAGCAATGCGTACGTACGATTAGTTACCGACACCAATTCCGCATCCGCATAGACGTGTATGAGGTCCACACGATGCGTGTTCTGTAGATTCGTATCACAGTAACGAAAGTAACGAGTAACGAATATTTTTATACGGGTAGTCAGATCCGAAGTAACGAATACATACGGGTATTGATTTTCTCGTTACTTTAACAGCTCTATTCGATACGGTTCAACAAGACATTTTATTATTAAAATTAGAGAGATATGGAGTTAGAGGGACATCATTACAGCTTATTACCTTTTATTTGCAAAAAATAACTCAATATGTTCAAATTGATGGGCAAACTTAGGGCAAGAATTCAGTACTGTATGGAGTTCCACAGGGTTCTGTTCTCGGGCCCTTACTTTTTATCATTTACTTTAATGATTTGTCAATTAATCTAAGTAATATACAGGTGTATTATGCTGCTGATTCAACATATATTGCTACAGATAAAAATAAATCTGATACAATAGAAAGGCTAAATGAAGCAGAATTTATGTCAAGTAATTGGTTTGGTAGCAATGGTGTTACATTAAACGAAGCAAAAACTCAGCAAATGTCATTTTCTATCATTGCTAAAAGTGAGAAACAGGTTAAACTTTTAGGAGCATATTTAGACCCGAATTTTAAATATCACATTCAAAGTTTACTAAAGATTTGTTCCAACAACGATCTTGGAACAATACATAAACCAGTCCAAAACTTATTGTTGACAATCTGTCGATGACTAGTAATTGACAACTTGTCAGGTACTGGTCGGGGATTGGGACTAAACTCGGAACTCGATTATGTTGGAACACATTTTTTAAATTCAACAGACGCATTATTATAATAATAAACCACAAAATAAAATAAATGATCATGAACAAAAACTATGAAGACTCGATTAACAAATACAAATCAGAACTGTCAGAGACAATAGATACAAATAATATAATTACAATCACGAAATGTTCAGTTTATTGCGGCTTAGCGCATGTCTTGACAATTCGTTCCTATTCAGACCCAGGAACTGATTTGACAGTACACAAATCGGTTTGTGATTAATTTTGGTTGTGTTGGAACACTATGGTTTTGTACAGTTTCGAGTCTAAGATTTGTTGGAACACAAATTCTAGACTGCGCAGAATCCCGACAGTACACAAACTGATTTGGTTTATGTTGGAACAAACCTTAAGTCGTTTAGCAAAAGCTACTTATGCAATTAGACAGCTAAAATTTCAATTAGACATTGTACATTTAAAAATGGTCTACTTTTTCATTATTTCATTATGACGTATGGGGTTTATACTTTGGGGAAATGCAAGCAACCAACTTAGGGTATTTATTGCACAAAAAAGTAGTACGTATCATGACATCGAGTAGCTACAATAATCACTGCCAACCTATTTTAAATAGTTGGGTATTTTACCACTACCATGTTGTTTTATTTTAGAGTCTTTTATACATGAAAAAACTAATTGGTAATAATAATGTTATAAGACAGAGCTCTAAACATTCTTATTGTACCAGAGGAAATTATGATCTTTACCTAATTACAGATTAACCAAACTTCATGATTCTTATAGATATATCAGCATTAAACTGTACAATTTCCTACCTCAAGCTTATAAAAACTCGTCTTTTAATTTATTTAAAATAAGAATTCGCAAATTTTTGTCGAGTCACTGCTTTTATTCCATTGACGAATTCTTATCACATGTGTCCACCTGTGCATGTGAGTAATGTGTAAACCTTTTTGGTGAATATACCTTTATAATTTTTATCTTTTAAGTATGTTTGAATATGTTATGTGTGTGTGTATCTATATTTTTTGGTCTATATTTTTCTAAATTGTAACTGTATTTTCTGTATCTATACCTATATATCTTTTTTTATACTTTTAACATTGACACATGTAAAATATTTATTTTTATTTTACATGAATAAATATCTATCTATCTCTCTATCACCGATCCCCTAGGGACCATGTACAATTCAGTACGCGACTCCGAAGATATCCCAACCCACACCATAACTGAACACTCTCTTCTCCAGAGTCTTTAGCGACCATCTAGGTATCATAGACAAAATCTAAATTCATAGGTAAACAACAAAAATCAACAGTTGTCTGCATTCCAATTTTGATGCTCCATAGCTGGCTATTATGTTTCCTTAAAAGTTCGGGTCCTTTAGCGGGTCTTCGAGATCTCAAATTAGTTTCATTCAACTGCTTTCTAACGGTTTATTCACTAACATTTTCTTTTCTAATCTCTACAACAGTTGAGTGACGATTTGTTAGTGCTGAAGACACCAAAAAGGTCATCCCTAGGAAACGTCATCTCTGGGAAACGGTTCCAGGATGTCGAGTGTAAGATCCCTTCTCGATAAAACGTGTATATACTCGTTGCACGCACAGTACTGATTGAAACCCCGAATCTGTTAGACACGTGACTTTTGTTGTATGAGAGTAACAATAAATGGATCAGTTTCTGCTTCTGCGCTTAAAGACATCTTGAAATTTGCACTAATTGACACAAGCAAGAAATAAACACAACTGAACCAATACTAAACAGAAATGTCATCATGAAAACAATTGAAAATGCTTAGCCTACACTTAGAACACTGAAGTAAAGGCAAAACGATAACTTTCACATTGTTGAGATTTTTGTACAATATCTGAAATAAGTTAAATTTAGAAGAAATTTCTTGATCAAAATTCTTCAGGGTAAACCGTATTCATTGTTGACCCAATATGTAAAACCGAATTAAAAAAAAATAAGGCAATTTTTCAAAAAATATCGAGGTGTCCGATTTTGGTGACGGCGAGTGTACTTATACAATTTGATAATAAAAACTCATTATTACAGATTTGGTACATTACTGTAGGAGAGTTGATCCCAATACTCCACCCCTGACTTATTTACAGTATTCTGTCATTTTTTACAGTTTAGCACAGTGAATATATAGGTTTGATGTATAGAATGCTCTTGTTGTGTGTCAAGGTATCCATTTTTTTGTTAATTAGTGATAGCACTTCATATATTTTCCTAAAAAATCGAGCAAAGTGCAGTAATATATTTGCAAAAATATGGATGACAGCTAGTGGACTTCATCAAGATATAATATTAAAATTAGGAGAATTTACTGTCAATAATTGACCTTTCCCATTATTTGACAATTTTACATTATTCATGCGCCAAAAAAAAGCACGGGACTTTTGAACTAGTAATTTTCCAAATAATCTCTTTCTTATCCTCACTTTACAACTGTTGGGTTGGCTACGAAGATTACACCATGTCATCATTATTTTAAACTGTCATCGTTTCTATATAGTAGGGAGTCAGTAAGACTTTTTTTAGTATACATTTGCAAAAAAGGTACCTACTGTAAGCCGAATTTCAAGAACCTTTTTTTCTACCAACTTTTGATGTAAATAATATCTGTAAGTTTTAAGTTTGCGCTTCTATGACAGCATTTTCTACACATGCTTTTTTAAAACGTCATCGTCGAAGGCTCCATCGCTACGTAGCAACAAACTATTTTCATGTTAGAAAAGGTAAGAATGAACGATATATTTGTAACAAAATTTTACCTTTCACAAATAACACACCTAAAAGTATCACTAGCCCCCCTACCAATACTATCAAAGGCAAAAACAAAATGACATTTGCGGAACGTCAACGTACAAAAATAATAACCGTTTTAAAGCGATGAACCAGAAATCACTTTGGTTATACCTTTGGTTAACCTTGAAATCACGTGACTAAGCCCTAAAAAGAACCGGTTATTGTAACGCATTAACGTTAAATCGTTTTTAAGGAATATGACATTTCTAGGTTAATTTTATAAAACTGGCCGGAATAAAATTGTGTGTTGTTGATATGTTACCAAGAAGAATTATATTTGTGTAGACTGGATGTTACAATTTAATAAGGAACAGTTTGACATGTTTTTTACATGGTGTCAAAAGCATTTTTTGATAATTTACGTAGTTAATGTCATTTCCAATTTTGACTGAGCTAATTCTATAATCTAACCAAAAAACACTAATTGCATGTCACTTCCACTTGTCATTATTAACCCACGTCTGGACTCAGGTATTTACCGGTTATAATTAATGACGTTTTAAAGGGCTTAAATATGACGTTATAGAAAGTAACCAAGGATAACAAACATCGCTTTAATTAAAACGATAAATACCGCAAATTACCGGTTGATCGCTTTAAAACGGTTAATGTTTACGGTATAGTCCAAAATATGAGTTTACAATTATTAGGATTTCTTCTTTCCCAATTAAAAAGAAGTTATTTTATTTGCGTTACGTGCATACGCCAGAGCCCGCAAGCTTACGTATGTACGTAGACGTGAACGTGAAGGGTATTTGAATGCACATGCGTAGATGTCAATTTTCACGTATACGTTTACGTTCATAGCATCACTTCAACTCTCTAATAGAGAGTTGAAGTATTTCCAGTACGTTAACGTAAACGTGAACGTGCACGCAGAAAAATAATGTTTACGTTGCTGTACAAAATATGAGTTGAAGTTGTTAAACGCATCGTGACATTTACGTATCATGACAAATAATGACAATTAATGACATATTATATTGGGATTTCTACTTTTCCTATTAAAAAGAAGTTATTTTGTTTACGTTACGTGTATACGCCAGAGCCCGTAAGTTTACGTATGTACGTAGACGTAAACGTGAAGGATATTTTAATAGGCATGCGCAGATGTCAAATTTCACGTATACGTTTACGTTTATAACATCACTTCAACTCTCTAATAATGGGAAAGGTCCATTGCTCGATAGTAATCAATCGTTTAACTAGGTCATGTTTTTATTTTAAATGTCAAATCGTTTATCAGCAGATAAATTTGAAAAAAGGTTTTTCTTCATAAAAAAATATAATTAATCGGAAAATGGAAGGAGAAAGTTCCAAACGTTTCAGAAACTTTACAGATGTCGAAAAAAATATGTTATTTGATTTGATTATTGAGCACAGAGATGTGATTGAAAAGAAAAAAAAAACGAAGTGTAAAAGAGAAAAATGGCTGGAAATAATTAACAACTACATCAATAATTGTCAGACAGGTTCTCGTACTGCTAAACAACTACAAGCTCTGTATGACACAAAGAAAAAGAAAGGAAAAATATTCACGACGACAAGGTTAGAATTAGTTTGTTTTAATTATATCAATATCTGCACTTATGTTTTTATAGAAGAATATATATAAAACTGGCGGTGGAACTTTTATTCCACGGAGTGATGAGCTGGATAAGAAAGTCTGTACAGTTTTGAAACCACAATACCAACATTTGCATAATAATTTTGACTCATCAGCTGAGTATTTTCAAGGTAAGGTTATAAGATAAATATTAATTTTATAACCAATTTTTTTTGGAACCTCTACTTCTAGTAATAAAAAGAATGTTCCACAAATTGTCGAATTAGTAGGAAATCGAAATAGGTCTGAAGATGCGCAAAGTCCCACCATCCAAATTGTTCAGTTGGGGAATTCAGTATTATCGTAAACCAATCAGTCCAAAATACCATATATCAAAAATATAATGAAATAGATAATGTGCCAAAGGAAACACGAAAACCAAATGTCAAGTGTCAACAAGAACAGTTGAAAGAAAAATTTTTAAAAATAAATTTAATTCATGATTTATAAAAAAGAGAAAAAATTATTGATATTGAAAAATTGGCAAAAGAAAATGAGCTAAAGGCAACAACTCCGGAATTACTAATTAAAGAGACTGAATTAAAATTAAAAGAAATGAAAAATAAAAACGTGGAACTTCAGCAAAAAACTGAAGAACGTGCCAGACAGGTTCGAGAAATGGAAGTTGAAATGAAGGAACACAAGCTGAACATAAAAAGAAAGAAAATGCATTTTACAAAATATAATACATTTTAAGTATCTAATATTTTATTTTAATTATCAAGTTTACCTAAATAAATTTATTACAGCTGTTCTAACAGAAATACCTCCTACATTTTCTGCCACAAAAAATCATTTACATTAGCATTTATAACATCAACTTCGCCATCAAAATCTTCGACTTCATTTCTTGTTATCACCATGTTATAAAGAACTGCCGTCGCTATTATTATAGGTAATATCAACGATTATAAATCAGTACGCAATCCTAAAGAAAGACAAGGAAACCTTCGTTTTCAAACGCCAAAACATCTCTCCACAGTATTGCGCCCGAGAATACCGATCAAGGAGAAGCGACAGTAGCTGTCGGTGCCTTTGATATCGGATGTACCTTTTTCACAGCATGACTTTGATTAATACACAACTTAGCACGCTGAGAAAACATGCTTATTTTCTACACTGAGCGAAATAGTATGGCAAATTATCTGAAATTATTGTTATACTCCATGCGCAAATGTTGCAATGTGATTTAATTGCATTGAAGTAGTTAGGATTATTACCAATGGTGAAATTTCGGCACCAAAATATAATTCATTATGTAATAATTAATTATTTGTTATAAAAGTAAAAGACGTTTATTATTTTATAATTTATCTATAAAATTTGTTCAATATTTGGTTTATTTATTCTTAAAAATGTAATAAAAGCCCCATATTTAAATTAAATTACCTTTTCCTTAATTAAAAATAAGCTAAATAAAATTAAGGATGCCAAAAAAAATTTAGGTAACAATTAAAAAGACATTAAGTTTGAGAGGTTTAACTAAATATTTGCAATGTGCATATATTTCAGGGCATGTGCACTCCCCGTAAAATTCACGGTCATTTAGGCTTTAGTTACGAGACCCTCCGCCAAAGCAGCACTGTACTTTATTTTGGAGAATAGCCTCGTAGCCGAGGCCTTGTATGAAACAAGAAGAAGAAAGTCAACTTCATCTTTATTTTTATTATCGTTCATCCGGTTCATTGTTTTGTTTAACCGACCGTTTCTTTTACGTTTAACGATTTTTGTAGTGTTTTTCTCGTTGTTTCTTTTGTGTATCGCTTTAATAGACTAATTATTTGAACATGGTGAAGTGTTGTGTACGTTTTTGTACTAATTCTTCACAAACGAATTTACACATTCTTCCCAAAGACAAAGATGTAAGTTACCTTCTATAGAGCATTTTATATTACATCAAATTATATTTTTCGATTTTCTTTAAAATATGTTTTTAGGTACGTATCAAATGGTGTGTTGCTATCGGAAGGGATGATTTGATCAACATGGAGGACTTAAAAGATCGCAAAAAATACAGAGTTTGTCATTCTCACTTCGACAAAATTGCAGAGTTTCCTCAAGCACAAAATAGAACGAATTTAAAATATGGTAGCATACCAACATTATTTTTGCCTTGTAAGTTTATAGTTGCTAATAATTCTAATAATAAGTACCCTTTTCTAAATATTCGAAGATCCTATTATGCTGCGGCCACACAGAGTGCGATGTTCGCTACGTGGCCACATAGATGTAAGACGCTACATTCGCTATGTTATGTAGCGAACGTAGTGAACATAGCGTAGCGCTCAGTGTGGCCTCAGCATTAGTCGAAGATATTATTATCCATAGCCAGTTTTATATCATTTTGTAATTTGCTTTATTTTTTAGCTTCACTGCGCCCTCAATCGTCAAATTTTGAGACAACGGAAAGTAGCATGGAAATTGGTAAGGTTATATATTAAATTATAAATTATAAAAGTTTTTATAACCATTATTTTTATTTAGATTTGCCAACCCCAAGTGTACGTACTTCTGACGTTCCTGTAGCTGTTGCATCAACCTCAACCATATCGACTCCCCGCACTCGCAAAGGTAGCATTTTTTATTCACCTCAATTTTAACAATCCAAAAAATTATTTTAACTCAATTTTATTTCAACTTTCTTCTGTATATAATCTCATTTATTATTTGTTCATTGTTTTTTATGTATCGTAATGATATAAATTGTAATTTGAAATTAAAATCTGAAATATTTTATTTTTAGACCTTAGAAGTAGAATAAGTATATTGGCAACTGTTGGGATCAAGCATTCCAATAAACTCACTCCGAGAGGTGCAAAACTGTACAGAACTGCAAGAAATATGAAACGAATTGCAAGAAAACTGTACAGTGAAAACGCTGACAACAGAAGACGAATAAAAGCCGCCATTGACTATGCTCAATCTGCAGATTTCTTCACAGTAAGAGTTAATGAAACGACAAAGCGGTTCATCATGTGTCAAGTAAATATGCAGGGGAAGAAACCCAAAGGACGACGGTTCAGCTTGGAGGATAAGGTTTTTGCCTTGACACTCCTTAAGCAGAGTCCAAAATGCTATAAGGTGTTGAAACAAAGTTTTGCTCTGCCTTCAAGGAAATCGCTAATGACCCTACTAAATAGTATACCATTTGAATGTGGTTTAATCCAAAATATTGTAAGCAGTCTAAAGAATACTGTCGACAGCATGAAGGAAGCACACAAATTGTGTACTGTCATATTTGACGAAATGTCATTATCACCTTCTCTGACATATAATAAGAAAAATGACAGCATACAGGGCTTTGTCGATTGTGGAGATGGAATTCGACAAGAATTTGCAGATCATGCAATGGTCTTTATGGTTAGGGGAATTGTCCAAAAATGGAAACAGCCAATTGCATACTTCTTCACCAGTGGGGCAATGAACTCTATTGACATTGCCAGAAACTTCAAGTCTATAATAATTGCTCTACAAGACATTGGGTTAAATGTAGTAGCTACAGTATGTGACCAGCACAGCGTGAATTCTTCAGCCATAAATTATTTGGTTGAGGAAACCGAGAGGGAGTATTTGCGAAAGGGGGAAGAAAAAGGCCACATTGGTTTTGAAATCAATAAGCGTGAAATAATCCCTCTTTTCGACCCCCCGCATTTACTGAAGGGCATTCGGAACAACTTCCTCAACAGAAAAGTCCAGTTCGTTTACAAGAACAAAAGTAGAGTTGCAGCATGGGAAGATATCGTTAAATTGTACGAAATGGATTCAGGTGATTTCAACACGAAAATGTGCTACAAGTTAACAGACGCCCACATCTACGAGCAAAAAATGAAGAAGATGAAAGTGAAAATTGCAGCTCAAGTTATGTCTCACAGAGTTTCGACTGCGATTAGATGGTCAGTCCGATACGGTATGTTAACAACGTCAAAATTATAGAAATAATTTATTAATAAAGCAATTTCTTTTTATTCGATAGGAAGAGAAGGTCTGTTTGGAGCGACAGCGGAGGGAACAGCGGATTTTACGAGTTTCATAGACCAACTTTTTGACAGCGTAAATGGCTCTGCAATGTTTCCTGATCATGGAAAAATTTTACGTTGTGCGGTAAGCAAGGAATCTTCGCACATGAAATTTTGGAACGATGCGATAGCTGTTTTAAAAACCGTCCAATTTATTAACGAAAAAGGCGCTCGTGTACCACCAACCGTAAAAAATTGGATTAAAACACTCCGTGGTTTCATGCATCTGTGGCGGAAGCTTGGTAAATCTCCTACTAATCCGGGAGGTCTGAAGTATTTGTGTATAAGAAATTTTAATCAGGACCCCCTGGAGAACTTTTTTGGGTGCATCCGAAGCCATGGAATAAGGAATATTAATCCTACATGTGATGCCTTTAAAAATTCATTTAAAACAATGATTGTCAATAATTTTGTATCAAGTCATTCTCCAGGAGCTAATTGTGAACGAGATGACAACATTGCCTTGGACAATTTAAGAAGCTTTTTAGGAAACTTTGAAGAATCCACGGCAATGTTGTCTGAAGAAGGAGGTGAAACTACTGTTTTTCAATTTAAAAATAAAATTGATGACATTAGTTTAGAAACTAATAAATATATAGCAGGGTATGTTGCCAAAAATACATTAAAGGCAGTCAAAAACTGCAAAGACTGCAGAAAGCAGCTAGTTTCACCTTCTTCAAAAAGTGCATTTATTACGCTCCTGGAGTATAGACCCAATACGCTGTTACAAAGCAGCAATATTTTCAATGAAATTTTTAATAATTTAATCGAATTAGGCAATGCCATTCTGCCGGATATTATATGCGAAAAAAATATAAAATATAGATTAGCATCCGCAGCAAAAAAATCTATATTTTTGGAGAACAATTATTGTAATGAGCACAAGCTATTACAAATTTTTATTGATATATTTTTTAATTTTTATATATATGCATATATAAAAAATATTAATGCTGTTTTAAATGGTAAATATTCATTGCAATTGAATGACAAAATAAAACAAATTGCACATGCAAAGTACCGCAAAAACAAATACAAATTTTGTAAAAATTGAGCAATTTTTTTTTTTATAGAGAAAGTAAAAGTTGAAAAGTCTTTTGGTAGGTAGAGAGGGGGTAAACGTCAAACAACGTCGGGCGGCTCCGAGAATTTCACAGTAATGTTTACCTGCCAGTGTCGTTTCATAGAATAAGTAATTTTAAATTATCAGCGGAACCGGACAATCGCATGTATTTGTGGATTATAAATAATTATTAAACATGTATTATAATATTCAAATTATAATTTTACAAAATTTCAACAGCTATTCACAATTTATTAAACTATTTACTCGAAATTGTTATTAACATCTATAAAATAATTTTGTACATCCACTTCGGTGAGATCCGCTGCCAACCTGTCAATTTATGTGTATAAAGTGGGTGAACTGGCAAAAGCATTTCCAACTTTTACTTCTGTTCTAAAATAATGAATTGTTACATTGTAAAATTTTGTAGGTTATAGGTTTAATATACTTGTAATTAAATCTAATGTATATAAATAAAATGTTAAAACAATATAAATATGTTTATCATTTGTTGCTTAATAAATTGAAACCCTAAATACTACATATATGTATTTAAATATCCCGCGTTTTTATAATAGTTACCAGACCCGTCGCACTGTTGTTTGGCGCTTTTAATAGAACGTTCTAATGACAAGGAGAGTGCTATCTATTAAATATGTAATCTGTGATATATTTTCAAAGCTTTTAGGTTTAAAAAGTACTTACATATTTTTAGAATTTCTAGATTTATATTATATTAAAAGAACTTTTAAGTTTGTCACTCATTTCTGTAGAAACAAGTGTTTTCTCGCCAAGTTAAGCCAGATATTATTTAAGGTTTATGTATTTAGAGTTAAATATCTGGCCTGGCTATCACCCAGACAATACAAATATGTCCATTGGACGTCCATTTGATATACAATTTTGGATGTCTAGACGTCCAAAAATGAGTTTTTCTGGACTTCCGACATCCAATGGACGTTCAGTGAAGTATAGAAATGGCACATTTTTGAGCATTCAGAGGAGGTCCAATTCTGGAATATATTTGGACGTCGAATACTAGACATTCAAAAAACGTCCAGGATTATATTTTCATTGAGACCACATCCCCACTTTTTTTATAGAACTGTAACTCACCACACACTATTTTATATTATTAATAATTTGTTTATTATTTTCGCAAACCGCTACACACCATTTATTTTTTTTTTTTTATTATTATTAAAAATCGCTTGACCTGAGCAGGTATCGAACTCACGACACATCCATTGTCGTTTTACGCTTTCAATCGCTAGACGAGCTCGACCAATGAACCACTTGAAAACTTTTTACTAGATACAGTTATAATTGAATAAGATTTCAAACTTACGCTGATAGAATGAAATGCAATAGATTCAATTTATCAATTTTTAATGACCAGTTATATTAAAAAAAAAGATAATATAGATGGGTATTATCTGGTAGGCTTAATAAATAATGACCTAAGCTGGATGTCCACTGGACGTCAAAATACTACTAAACTTAAAATTAAGTCCAAAAACAGACGTTCTCTGGGTATCGATATTCAGCTCTCAATTTAATTAGCATAAACGGACGTACACTGGATGCCCGGATATGGACGTTCTGACCCTCAAATGGACGTCCATTGGACTATGTGTAAATATGAATGGGCAAAACATCTTTATATTGACATAATGGTAACTTACAATTTAGCTATAATAAAGGGATTTCGCCCACTTTGACCAATCCTAATTGAAACACGCGGATTTATTATATTTTTTTTAAATATAATTTCAAAATAAAATAAACAAAATCTGCAGTTCATTGTTTATTAAATTTATTTAAAAGAAGAAAAACATATATTTCACAAAATACAATACCTACATATGAAAAATAAAATTTCAAAAATGAATAAATCATTATACTTAATATTTATGCATGTGATAAAATTCTTAGTTTCCTTTTTTGGCACATTTTATATCTGTATTAGAATACCTAAGTGTGTAAAAAACTTCATCTTATTAATACACAAAACAAACACCAAAAAATATCACTTAACATTGCTCACGTACTAAACACAACTTGGACTGACAGATAACATAATTTTGAGTGATACACAACTTATTTTCGCACATGCGCGTTACAAAACGGTACACTGAAAACACCAAGCTGTCGCTTCTCCTTGATCGGTATTCTCGGATTGCGCGTACCAATATGTGTAGTATTCTATCTTTGTTCTTTGGGTAGAACAGGATTTAATAGAGATGTAAGTAAATATGATTTGCACGCGTATGCACTATCTCTAAGTATATATTCTGGTGCTAGGCCAGCTATTGCATTAATAACTTTTCGTAGTACTTTACAAACAGTAGATTTGTGTACTTTAAAATCATCTCCTATAAGGATTTGAAACGAGCCTACAATTTGCATTGAATTGTATTAGTTAAGGTTTAGAAGAAAGTATTTTGATTTATGTACCTGTTGCATAAAACCTTAAAGATATCAGTAATGGTTCTCTGATAAAGAACGATTTCGCCGAGTCGTAGGATGAATATGGTCGTTAATTAGTTCAACCAAGTAGTTGACACTACGTTTGGTAAATCTAAAACGGTCCCTAAATTTGTTGTCACAAATGGATAATTTCTAACACGAAAATGGCGAACAACGTCTAGCATTTCAATAATTTCTAATATGTCTTTATCAAAAGAATCCAAAGAGCTTGAACAATCCATTATTTTGAGTTAAATTTATTTTTCTGGTATTAGAGAAACAATAATAAATATATTTATTTGAAATGTCAAATTATGAAGGCATACGTCAGATACTTATCGAATACATATCTCACCAACATGGCAAGATATCTATTCGATAACTTATAGAATGGATAACTTTTGTTGAATGTTTCAAAAACGAAATATCTCTAGTTATCCGTTTGATAAGTCTATCGGAAAGATATCTACTGTTTCAGAAACCGGTCACAAATCATTTGGTTAAATTAAACACGTTAATCGTGTGTTTAATCAGTGGCAGAAAGTACCGGCTCTAAAAATTGTAACTTCAGGGACCTCTAGTGCCCAAACTGAGCAACGTTGTACTGAAGTAAGATTATTTTGATCTAAGGAATATGCGGTATAATTTTGTAAAGACTTTTTAAAGCGATTATATTTATTAAACCCCGAATCGAAATCACACTTACCTCGGGTAACGTTATAACAAGTCGATCTTGCAGATGCTTCACCAGCAATATAGTTTTCGGTTGTGTTATAGTTATATAAGTTCTAAGCCCCATCACTTCCTTCACCAGATAAACATCTTTCGACCTTAAAGTGCCGTTTTCCCAATGACCATACATATTATCGATGTCGACGTTGATAAAACCATTAGAACCGTTTCGATGGGCAACGTAAGTGTCGTCATGGGTGCTCATAAACACGTTCAATTTTCCTTGGGTCACGTCTATTATGATTCGGATGTCTACGTTCATGAATCGAGGTTGTATGACGAAAAATACAACCTCGCCCGGGTGGAGGGGATTTGGTTTCATTTTACATTCATCTAAAAAATAATGTTGCATAAAAGTTGCAGTAACATCAATAGAAATAGTGATTTATAGTGTCTTTAAACTGCATCAAATTACTATGAGGTCTATTCTGTAACGATTTCTTTATATTTCAATAGATATTAAAATATTGACAGTCATCTTTATTTTTCCATTCACTTACTTACGTATGTCAATATCCAAAAGTATTCCTTAAAAAAAGTCCTTAACAATTATCATTTTTAAAGGGGTGTTAAAATGTGTCTTTAACTTTCAATAAAAATTTAAAATAATTAAGTTGTTATTTAAGAGTGACAGTGAAAAAAGCTCCATAAGAAATGCATTGTATTTTAAAAACATTAATATTTAAAGCACTAAAGTATCTGAAATTTCTGAGAATGTAGAGGATATTCAGTTAGAAGAAATTATCAAAGAAAATGAAAATCACAAGTCAATCGGATCTTTCGCGTAGAGATGACATTTTTTGTTCGTTTTTAGATTTAGGATTATCGGAAACTTGAAGATAACTGTTAAAAACTGGGGACAAGAAATTGTCTTCATTGACACGAATGCAATACCGAGACCCCATAGGCAAAATGCCTCAGTAATTTCATGGCCGAATTTAGATTACATCAAAGGTCAATTTAAGGACTAAGCACTCTTTTCAATTGCCAAGGGTTATCATTTAAAAATATGTTTCGTTTTAATAAAGATATAACCAGAATTATAGTTATAGTTGAGTACCGAACTAATAGGCAGTAATTTATTACCAAGAGTATGTGAGTAATGTTGACAGAGGTGCCATATATGTAATTGTAATATATATCCGCCACTGAAAAAATCCCCTGTCCCGTAACCTCCAAAAATTTCTCTAAACCAAACTATTAGGTATTCCAACGACCTATCAAAATACTGCCAGTGGGATCTGACAGTTTTGATATGGCAACCCTATGGGCTTGTTGCCATTGACAGGGTCAATGATAATGTTACACAGCACCTGCAGCGTGCTGCGGTCGTCATAAGTAAAGGTACGAGTAAATGAAGAATATAGAATAGTCCAGAAATGTCTCGAAATGTCATTCCTTGTCAAAGAAAAATCCGGATTGTTCGAGAAGGTTCTAAAAGGTTGAGGCAAGCTATATAAGTCGACGACCTGACGTCACGAGATCAGTTTTATGATAGACGTTATACGTTAATGTTATCAGTTGGATAGTAATAAATAGTGATACCAAAAACCTGTGTAACACTGGTGACAGCGGTGGAATTCAAAGTAAAAGTTCATGGTAAATACTAGATCCACTGAGTACGAAGCAGGCATGGATACGTCAGGCCCACCAGCATGGTTTTTGAAGATGGAAGAGGAGACAGTAGGGCGAAAGGAGGAAAAGGAAAGGCGCAGGAAGGAAAAAGAGGAGAAAAAGGAAAGGCGTAAGAAAGAAGAGGAGGAATAGAAGGAGGAGAGGCATAGAAAAGCGGAGGTAAAGATTATAAATGGCTCAGTGCAAATCCAGGAAACCATCAAGCAAGAGGTTGGTCAGCTTAAAATTAGAATAGATCTGTTAGAACAGCAACAAGAGAATCTAAAAAGTAATTTAGAGAACTTAAAAACGAATTTAGAACATCAACAAGAACAAACTAGAGTGGAGTTGGAAAGGCGAATTAGAGCTGAAATGGCTGAGTTAGAGAAAATAATTCGTGGCCAAGCTTCCGTAAGCAACATTGAAACTGAAAACACTACCTCGTCCTCATATATAACCGAACTAAGCCATATCCAAAAACCCAGTTTCGCAAACCCATACTAGCAAGACCATTAAGCCACCCACGTCAGACAACATGGGAAACGTATCGACTCCAATTTGAAGCTGCAGCCAATGGCTGGACCGAGAAATAGATGGCGGCTTCATTGATAATGTCGCTGCGAGGACAGGCAGCAACCGTTCCAAGCTTTGGAGACAAGATATGGCCAGCAGCATTTGCAACGCGTATTCCAAAGCCAGCTAAACGTTCGTAGTCAGAAACATAATGAGAGTCTACAGGAATTCGAAGCCGACATAAGAAGGTTGATTCATCTGGCCTATCCACAGGCGCCGAAAGATTTCCAAGAACAAATCGGAGTACAGGCATTCATTGATGGACTACAAGAAGTGGAAATGTAGCAAGCCCTTTGTCTACAACATCACAAGACGCTGAGGGAGAAACTGATTGCAGCTCAGGAATATGAAGCGGTGTGTGGGTGCGTACGTGGGTGTGCGTATGTGTGTATCAACCATAACTCATGAACCGATACAAAGAAAAACACCAAATTTTAAACTTAAGCTTTATTCCGGCGTCCAATGAACTGATTAAATTTTGGGCAGAGTCGGAACATCTGGGGGGGGGGTACTTTATAGGTGGTTATTTTTATATTTTATGGAATATATCTGTTATTTACGTTTGGAGAAGAAAATTCTTTAAATAAAAGTTACTTGCAATATTATTATCAATATTTTTTGTTCTATACAAAATTTTCCTAAAATGGACCGTATTCGAGATATTTGAGAAAATGTGTAAATTTCGAATTTTGAAGAAAACTCCAAAACGGATAAAGGAAAAAAACATTAAATTGTAAACTTAAGTTTTATTTCGGTCTGACTTCAAATGATTACATTTTGGACAAAGTCAGAACATCTGGGGAGGGTACTTTATTGGAGGCCGTTTTTATATTTTATGTAATATATCTGTTAGAAAATTGTTCGAATAAAAGTTACTTCCAATATTATTATCTATAATTTTTACCTTATGTCAAATTTTCTTGAAATGATCCGTATTCGAGAAATTTGACAAAATGTGCTAAATTCTGATTTTTAAGAAAATTGTTAAACTAAAAGTTGTTTGCGATATCGATCTCTATAATTTTTGTTTTTACATGATTTTTCTAAAATGGACCGTAATGGAAAAATTGGAGGAAAAGTACTAAATTTAAATGTTTCAGTATTTTCGTTTTCAATGAATATCTATAGAAAAATGTTTCGAGTTAGATGTATGTGGAAAATGTATATATTTAGTTTATCCTTTAAACATTTATAGAGGTGCTACAATAGGTTGCACAAAATAACCTGAAAAAGCCTATAATAACTAGATAGGAAAGTCATGTGTTGGACATATCAGATTTTTTGTATTGTAGAAGATGGAAATATTTTGCTGCAGACACACCAGCAGTGGAATTCATGATGCTAATCTCACATATTTGATTAGATAATTAATTTGACATAAGCGCCTTCAAGGTTTAGGTTGTTAAGCGATCAAGTTTAGATTTCAGATAAAAGCAATCTCTTTTTAATTTTTTATTTTGGAAAAAATATGAAAAATTAAAAAGTACGACTAATGCTGTTTATTTATTTAAAATACTTTTTATTTATCACAATATAACCCCAATAAATAAACAGCATTAGTCGTACTTTATCATTTTTTATATTTTTTCAAAAAAAAAAAAAAAAACTTTCATCGGCAACTGAACCCAGTTTGCGAAATCCAAAGTTGGGCACTTAACGACCTGCGCCATGAAGGTTTATGTCTAGTTAATTATCTAATCAAATATGTTATCATTTTCTATAATGGCTTTTTAAGACTCCTTAATTCTTCGTAGTTTGTACAAGAAAAAATAAATGAAAAATTTGCAATTTTGTCTTGCTAAAATAACACCTTAATGTGCCACTGGCTCCCCTACCATATAAAGAGTTACTCATTTTCAAAATACTTGATGTTAAAAGTTGAAAACTGAAAAATTATTAATGGCTTAAATTTTTTTATTACTTAGTATAATTTTACTAAAATGTTTTTGGTGTCATGTCATGAGATAGCCTAAAAGAAAAAATCCGTTACTTAAATTTTACCAGTGGCGTACGGCATGGGTAACATTAATTTAAATTGTTTTCAAAGTAAATGTTAATTACAATTTAATAAAATGACTAGTTATAAATATCTTTGAGTTCGAATATATTGAAAATCAATCACATTATGTGTTTCCAACAAGAATACCTACAATATTTTGCTAAAAAACATCAAAAATAATTGAAAATTATATACAAAATTAGTGTTTGGACTGTGGCATACCTAATATTTAGAAGGAATAAAGGTGTTACTCGTGAGATATGATACTTATATAGGGTTGCCAGGTTGAAATATCTAAAAATCAAGTAAATCAAAAAGCTGTTAAAAAATTGGGACCCTATTTTTTAAAAGGAATAATTTATATTAAAGGAAACAAAATATATAATTCATAAAACTTCTCATAAAATTTAAAAAGTGTATGAGTCTATAATATTATCAACGTCGAAACCCAAAAAATCTTAATAATATGATGAATAAATGATTGAATAAGTATAGGTATATCAAAAATAAATGATAAATACTATTAATTTTTTTCCTACTTTTAAAAGAATTTTCTAATACCTATTCTCAATTTTTGAATAAATATTTTACCCATTAAACCTGTTAAAATCAGGACGTTTGGCAACCCTACATGTGTATCTTATGACACCAAATACGTTTCCGATTTTAGTAAAATTATATTGAATAATAAAATTATGGGTAGGTGGTACCTTCCCGTTATTAATTTTTCAATTTTCAACTTATATATTAACATCCTGTATTTCTGAACTGAACCAGAGAATCTTCAGTTGTTCATGTCCTATTCTTAATGTGACATCCTGCTTAATAAAGTGAAAAAAAAATTAACAGCGCAAAATTCAGATATTAGTTAACCGTCCAACTTCCTGTGAGTCCAAAACCACAATCGTAAAGTAGAGAAAAATGTTCCGTTCCCTATTATAGGAAAATTCCACTCAACCCATTCAATCTTTTCCAAAACAAAAACTGGTGTATTGCCATTATTATTTCCCTGTTAGGGCTGGTTTTTCAATCTCCGGCTATTTAGGATAGCTGGCAGCTACGGAGATAGCCGTCAGCCACTGCCTGTAAAAATGTTTATCGACCTCCAGTTATATGATAGCCGTCAGCTATTCTGACTGTAACCGTAACCGACACTTGCAAGTGGCAATTTCGTACAAATAACCGCCAGCTATTTATTGTACATGCGTAGGGCGATGTTTGTCAAATTTAGAGGTTAATATTTTTATTAATTTTATTATTTCTCAAAAATAGATTTATTTAAATACATTCACAACGACGATGACAAAGAAATTATTTAAATTATTGAATATGAGCCAAGATGACCGTGTAATCCGTGTATGTAAGGGAATGGCCCAATTATTTTGATATCGATGAAATGAATTTTATTATAAAAATGTTCTGCAACCTTCTCATTTTGTTTCTGTAGGCACTAGTAGAGATCTGATGCCGCGAAATTAGGCCTTTTCTCTTTTTTCTAAATCACCAATTGCCCAAAAACAGAAAATAACAACTGTCCTAAAGAAAAATGGAAGCAAAATAGAATAATTTTTATGTGAAGGTCGGTGGCGATCACCACAAGACACGATATATTATGTAAAGCGGCAAATTTATATCCAATAAAAACCATTTAATAAATTAGCAGAAATGCCTGTCTAAGAATAAATAAAAACTATTAGACTACGTAGCTAGCAGTTAAATTCGTGACAATAAACATTTCCATCCATGTTCCATCAGTAACAGGAACTTTGACTGCCGGCTACGATATAGCTGTCGGCTACGTAACAGCCACTTTGACTGGACATTAACCGGCCCTTAACCAATTCATGTGACCTTCAAATACCCTTTACCTGTAACAATTGCAATTGTAAATAAAAAACACATTACCAAAGACACGTTGAAATAAAAAATATTTTAAATTATAATTCACACTCAAGCGCCGACATGACCTAAAGAACCTGACTTAGATACCATGGGAGTGGTGTCATCTACATGTCTCCATCGTAATCAAATCAAGTGTCCATAAGATTATACTACTATGATATCTTCATACAACGGTCATAGTCTATTTTAGAAACATTCTTTGTAGCTCACTCTTTTTTTTTTAATAATTAACCATCGGTTTTGCCATCCATAATCATCATACTTAGTACTCACTTCTTTTTATAAATAAACCATAGAGTATGAAATTCGCCAAGTGAAAGGTTTAAAATATTTAAGAAAAAAGGGAAAACGACTTGGCAACGTTACATTTTTTGGTGGGCTGTTTGCGAACAAGAAGAATTTTGACAGTGGCAGTATTACTATACAGAGTGAACGATGTTTGCCTTTCATAGCCATCTTGAGTTGATTAGAAATTTTTTTATTTACAATTAATAAAAGTATGTACATGTCAAATTAAATCAGTAATTCACACTACCGAGTCCGGAGCCTTTTCGTGCAAGTCATGGACCAAGGAGGATAAATCCGCCTACAGTAATTCATTTGACTAAGAAGTATGGCAAATATATCAGCCCTCACTCCTTACCTGTTCAGTATTATTAAGGGATTATGATTTGTTTGGGAATCGGTAATGGGAAATGGTTATAAGGATTTGTCTTGTTTTAGTTGTGGCTTTTGTCCCCTGAAAAAGCTAGAAAAAACAGGGTTGAGTTGAAGACACAAGTGAATAAAGGTATATCACATTTTTTCAAAAAATTATTTTTATAGCCTAATATACTTAAAATATACTATATTTTTGTTTGAGATAGTTTTGATTTTTAATTTTGATAAATAACGGCTATTCATCAGATAGGAAGTTATCATGAGCCATATATATCATAATGTAATTGTAAAACTTTAAACTTGTTTTTCTCAAAATAATCTTTTTGTGACATGACACCTTTATCCACTTGTTTCTTCAATTTAAAAAGGAAACTGAACGGTATATGTTAAATTCATACTAATACAGCGCGCATTCATAAGTTTGGTTATGTTATACGACTGTCTTCGTTTCCTTTAATTAACTATTCCCATGCGTATTTATTTCAAAATTATTTCAAAATGCCTGTAAATTTTAAAGGATGTTTTACAGAATAGACCCCATGTCGACCAAATTATCAAACTTACCTAGAGGCTTTGCATCGAAACACATTTTATTATCAACGTGCATTTGCTTGTAACACTGATGTCCAGAGGTCGGTGTTCCGAGATATCCTTCTTTACATTTGGAACATTGCACCATCCAACATGGGTGCGCAGAGTTTTTATCCGACACTCCTCGACAAGCGTCGCTTTCGGTGTTGTTTTGACAGTTACATTTATCACCGTGAATGGGATCGCAAGTGTCACCGTGGCCGTGACAATCGCATGGACGGCAGGGATCTCTGTGGTCTTCAGTGCCACGGAAATTTCCTAAATTTTTAATACAAATATTAAGATGATGTTATTTGCTCTAAGCAAGTATAAGATAAAAGTTACAAAAGTATGTTTACCTTTAATACAATCATCACATCTAATGCCAGAAGTCAGATTTCCGCATCTCAAGCATTTGGCGTTAATTTTCGGTCCTTCTTTTAAAGTTTTGTTCAAAAATTCTAAATCTATGTAATCATTCGCGTCTATTTCCGTACTATTATCAACGCAGAAAGAACTATGCCCATGGCAATATTCGAAACAAGATACACAAGCTCCTCCGTCAGCTGGATCGCCAACAAATAGGGGTTTGCATTTTTCACATTGAGCACCCTGGAGGAAAAAAATGACTTATCATAATTAAAATATAAAATGTATGAGCCAAATAAGCATTAATCATGTTAGGAAGAGATAAGCTATACAGTGATAAAAGACATACAGATGTTATGAGGTAAATATAAAGCGATACATCATTATAAAAACAATATACATATTGATAACAAAGACCCACCATCGTGTTGTTATGGCAGGTCAAACATTTATCCAACTTATCAGGTCCTTCACAATTTGCATGGCCATTACATTGACACTGAATGCTGCAATTAGCACCAACATAACCAAAATCACATAGACACCTATTAGGATGGATACATTGACCACGAACACAACCTATAAATAACCAAATATTAATTTTAGCAACCTATGGAGTTGTAAATAATATGATATTTTATAATGAATTACACATTTTAAATTATTTTAATATTTTTATATTAAATAACTCATACCTAAAGGACAAACAGGTTCACACCCATGAATACCAGCTTTGTAACCAGGTCCACATTTACATTCAAACCCTTCTTCCAGGTCTACACAAATTTCAGATTCAATAGCACAAGTGTGATGACCATTATTGCATTCATCTTCTGGCGGGCACTTCACATAGTGCCAGGAATAGGTTAAGTTTTCCAATACCCCATCATCCACTTCCTATTTAAAAAAAGCGACACATAGTATATTATTTTTAACATTATTAGAAATGAAAATTTACCAAAACCTTCTTATTATTGTCGATGAAAACATCCTTGCAAGTACCCAACATGGGTCTCTCATTTGATCCTTCCGTACAAAAACCTTCACCGCTCAAACCAGGCATCGCACACCATCCGCATGGAGCATGCTTCAAACAACTCGTACATTGCGTGAATGTATTACAGGGTTCCGGACAGTGTTGCCGCTCTTGGGGACGGAGAACTAACCCGCAAACCCCACCAGCGCAATATACGTCTTGATGTGATTCCGATACGCATTCGTCTAATTGCGTTGACCAGTGACAGTCCGGGGCTTCAAGGCAAGCCGAACAGGTTGAGTAGTTGATACAAGGTTGGGGACAAACGGCTACCGAATTCGCTTCTTGTTCTTGAGTCACTGCAAAAATATTTCATCCTGTCTTTATATTTGTATTTGAAGAACTAATATGTACAGTGGCACTACTGCAAGATATCCTTTTATTAAATAAAGGCCCTGTACGTCAGTTAGAAGAGGTTGGATTATACACGAAGACGTTTTTTAAAGGCAATAAAAAAATATCTAGAATGTGTAACAGAGTTGTCATATATTGAAAGAATTCCTTTCATCATAACTATTATGTAAACAAAATGTTTCAAATACAAAATTGTTGTTTAAAACTACAATATATCAATTGTCTTAGAGTGTAAATTACAATACTTAAATTGTAGTTACTTTATTTGAATGTTTTTTATAGAGATTTCACTATAAAGCTTAATAATATATCGAGGGACCAGAGCGAAAACCTGAATCAGTAATAAAAATGAGTTATGAAGATACTGACGTTTAAAGATTTTTTTGTTCTTCTGTCCCCTCTTTTAATTAAAAATTAAATGCATTTGCGTTTGCTTTAGTAATACCGAAATCAAGACAAGAATGCATCAACTCATAAGATTTTCATTCTAGTGATTATTAAAGAGTTCCAAAAAGTGTTTGGACAAGTTATTATCTCTTAATGTTTAAATATTATTTTTAGTTTAATAAAAAGCACTGAAAAAACTTTAACGTGAAAAGTTATTAATTTTATCCTAATTAGGGTCTATTTATTCTCCCTTATTATTAGTATTTGCATTAGTATTATGATTAAGGATTAAGTTGAACCTTCACAATGTAATGGGGACATTTATACTCGATTTATGATTAGTATTAGCATTAATATGTATGCTTAATAATTGACAGGTTCAACTTTTAAGTTAAATATTAAATTTCTTCTTTTCTGTCAAATGAATTAATGACATATTTGGCCTTTGTTTTTAATAGACAACGAATAATGATAATTAACAATACACATATGATTATGTTGTTTATAGGATTCTTCCAACAAGCTCGAAAACGATAATATTTCGGTACAAATCATAGGCTGTATCACTGATCTGTATAAAGTGGGCTGTATACAATTTTTGTGTATCAGCAGTGTTTACCGATTATAAAGTTGACAAATGACATGTCACCACGAGGAAGCAAATGCCTCTTTTCTGTCTGATTTGTATCAAATTTCTCCTTCTTTTTATCTGTTATAAATTTGAGACGTAAATCTGTTAAAATATCCTTAATTAAACCTATTTTTGAATAATAATATTTTTAAATAAAATTAACTATTCAAAATATTAATTAAAACACGTTTAAAACTCAAATATCTTAAAAAATATTCTAAGAAAATAACTGGCCTCTTACACATTTCTTTAATAACCAACATTTTGTTGACTGCAGAATTATACCTTGTTAGGAAAAAGATTGATAAAAAAGAAGCACTAATGTTAATTATAAAACGAGTATAAATACCCTTTTTGAATGATTTAACAAATTTAATGCTTAATCATAATACTAATACAAATACTAATAATAAGGAAGTATAAATAGACCCTTACATAAATTAAAAAAAAATCTAAAGATTTTCCAAATTATCTTTTTTTAACCCTGCAGAGAAACTGTGTAATATACGCTATTTTAGTGATTATGTAATTATGGTTCCACTGACAAATAAAGTAACATTATATTTTTTGAGTGCGTTTTGTTCGTTTTGTTTACCTAAATTATATCGTTTTTTCACTTTTATAAATATATTCCTAAAGTAAGTAATGTTATCAAATATACAATCGTTCAGTTACCAATTACATACATTTAAACTATTTTCTATGACCTGTAAACAATATTTAGGAAAAAAACTAAAAACAATGAAAACGTATTTGTCAAATTTATTGATGTTTTTGTTAAAAGTTTGGTTAGAATTAAATGTCAGTAGGACCAAAATGACGTCACACTAAACTGGTGTATTAGCATTATAAATTAGTGATGGGTCGCTTGGAAAAGTTCACAGACAAGTCCGATGGACTAGTTTGAAACGTTGACTAGCCCAAACAGACTTTTCAAAAGTGAAAAAGTGTATTGCGCATGCACGAAATTAAATTAACTGATTTGTCTGAATTTCTTACAAAGGTGAAATATAAAATATAAAAGAAATATAAAACATAAAAAATTGAAAAACAAAAAATAAAAAAATATAAAAAAATATAAAAAAATATAAAAAAATATAAAAAATATAAAAAATATAAAAAAATATAAAAAATATAAAAAATATAAAAAATATAAAAAATATAAAAAATATAAAAAATATAAAAAATATAAAAAGTATAAAAAATATAAAAAATATAAAAAATATCAAAAATATAAATAATATAAAAAATATAAAAAATATCAAAAATATAAATAATATAAAAAACAAAAAATAAAAAAGAACCGACAAATAACTACTGACTTATAATTTAATTTTCGTTTCATATCTTATTAAAATAAAAACGTGAAAAATTACCAAAAAAATCCAAAAGTTGAAAGTATTTTACAAATGATTTGCTTAAAAAAGAAAATATGAATGGAAATATTGTTCCCAAGTGTTTTTGAAAAAACATCCAAGGTGGACAAATATTTAACTGTGTGTCTTCTATGCCCAAGGTCGACTACTTTTCATTGTAACTTACTTTTCCGGACAAAAATTACTTTTCATGAAAAGTCCCATCCGTATTAAAAATATTTAAGTGCTGGCGGCGAACGTGCCCTTTTGGATATGGACACCAGAGATTAGGTACATAAAGATAGGAAACGCAACGACCGCAGCAATGATGGCGTCATCTATGCGTCTCAGATGTTAACTAAAGGTACACGTCGTTTGTAGACAGACAGCAGACGTCAACAGCAGCGGACAGTTTGTAAATATAAATGTCAATTAGTTGTATGTATATCGTAGAATCCTGAATTTGAATTTTAAATTTTGAGTTCGTGATTGTGTTATCCTCTAGATGAACTAAGCGAAATAGTTGTGGCTGTTTTTGTGTGAAATTTGGAGACAATAATTATATTTTGTAATATTACAAAAAGTCAGAGAACGTATTGCATTAGTAACACATGCCACATGAATAAGTATAACAACCCCAATGTGGCATTCTTTAATGAACCAAAATAAGATCTAGTCATGTAAGTAACACAAATAATAGCCAACTTTTGTCGCAAAGTAGATATTTATTTAATATTTATTGATTTAGAACAAATAAATGGCTTCAAAACGTTAGAAAGAAGATTTAAATAAGACACCATTGGCCATTCGTTTGGAAAATAAGAACAAAAATAATAATGTTACAAATAACGAATAAAAATTAAAAAATATTTGTCATGAATAGATTTACAATAATTAATCGATAATAGACTGTAAGTGTAGTATTCTTTTTAATAAATAATTTAGCGTAATTACATTGTTTAAATTTATTTACCAGAACGTGAGAGTGCAGTCGATATTTATACAACCTTTATTATCAGGTTTTTAAATTTCCCGCTGCGTTGTTTGATATCGATGAAAGCGCCACATAGTGGGTCAGATGTTAACTACGTTAAAGCTGGTCGTTGTTAAGCATTGGCTTCTTATGAGCATTTCCTATCTTTATCTCCCTTATCTCTGATGGACACTACATATACCAAAGATCTAAAAATGCCCCAGACCATAGAAATAGTATAGAAAGCAATTTCATATATCAAAAGCGAACCCATAAAGAGCAAATAGTAGTTAGTCACGGTCACGGTCTAGAACCATTGGCGTCGGGGGAAAAATCGAGAATTTTATCTACAATGGATTTTTTACATAATATAATAAAAAATAATAATTTAGTTTAGTTGTAATCACGATGAATGACATTTTAAAGGTTTTTTATATTTAGCTCTCTTTAAAATATGGCACCAAATTGTGCATAGTACTAAAAAATCCACCAGAGGTAGTTAAGAAATAAATAAGAACTGTCAACAAAAATACCTTCATTCGTTTCTTTTCTTTATTACAAAATGTTATAAAGCCTATACGTTCTTATTATTACATCATCCATCACCTACTTCTACTTTTGACGTCTAACATTAACATTTGACATTAGTACATCAAATTCATCATTAATCTCTAAAATCAACAATAATTAGACTCGAACTCGTGATTCATGATATGATCTGAGAATGGGAAATTAGTTTAAGACCTCAAAAAAGATGAAAAACTAACAACAGTAATATTGCAAAATTATGTTTGTAAATATTTGTTCGTAAATGTATTAAAATACTAGCTGTTGCCCACGGCTTCGTACGCGTGGAGTGTTTTTAATATAAAAAAATGCATAGCTTCCCAAAAAAGGAGGGATAATATGTTTTTAGGGTTCATGATATGTATGTGATAGTAATATAGATTAGAGTTAAGTATAGTAATCTAATATTTAAGTATAGTAATATAATATTTAAGTACAGTAATCTAATTGAGAATCTCTTTTTATACCACATTTCTGGTACGACTCTCATCTGCTAATATCACCAGATTGCATGCGGAACTGACTCTCTAACAAATCACATAAAACTGTCCATGAGAAAAGCAGTCCTCCTTTAGGCTGTAGTGGTATGGGGACATCGAGAAATATCGTTTTTATCAATTCACTCTTCATATTTTTCATACCAGGGCGTAAGAAGTTTCACTTATTTGTTTTTAAGTATTTGTGCTATTCATTTGCGTTTATTTTTATTTACTTTTATTTATTTCTATTTATTCATTTTTATTCATTTTTATTCATTTTTATTCATTTTTATTCATTTTTATTCATTTTTATTCATTTTTATTCATTTTTATTCATTTTTATTCATTTTTATTCATTTTTATTCATTTTTATTCATTTTTATTCATTTATTTTTATTCATTTATTTTTATTCATTTATTTTTATTCATTTATTTTTATTCATTTATTTTTATTCATTTATTTTTATTCATTTATTTTTATTCATTTATTTTTATTCATTTATTTTTATTCATTTATTTTTATTCATTTATTTTTATTCATTTATTTTTATTC